GTGGAGATGGACGCCTCGGGTGTCTGGGTCCCCAGCCATAGTTTCGGGCAACCTAGGCTTCAGGTACAGCGACGGACGCGCGTCCATCCCGGAGCAGACGCAGCGACCCCGATCCGGACCCACCCCGGCTCTAGCTTCCACAGGGGCTGCGGGTCCTGAGTCTCAAACATGAAACGCGCAGGACCTTTTTTAAAAACGAGTAGTTACCTCCTGCTCCAGCCAAACAAAGGTTGAATAAATATTTAAAGTCTTACGAGCAAAGGGCTGTGTATCGTGTGCCGTTTGGGTGGTGCAAGACCCACAGGTAAGCGAGGAATGGCGATTGAGATTTCAAATGCGTGTGGGATATGGACAAACTCCTCCCAACGGTCTTGCTTCTCGATTCTTCTAGAATCTTCCAGAAGCAAAAGCCGTAGAGAAGTCCTGTGCAGTGTTGACACAGGTCGCAGCATTAACCACGTGACTGTCAGCTGACCGTTATGCAGATGAGTTCTCATCATTAGCAAGAGCATCCATGATGGGTTGGGAAAGGATTACTATATAGAAATGTCATCTTGACTGTGGTGTCTGCAGCTGTTTTGTTTTGTGTGGGTTGGTCTTTTTGTTGTTGTTGTTCTCGTTTTGTTTTGGCTTGGTTTGGTTTTTTTGCAGCTGTATATTTTTGGAGGAAACTGGAAGGACACAACACGCTGGTTGTAGGAGATGGGTTGTGAGAGGACAGTGAAAAAGAGAAGATGGGCACAAAGATGGTGACTGGGTACAATGGTATGATATTAAATGAATGTCAAATTCTAACTATACAAATACTACAAAAATGTTTGTTAAATGGTGTTGCGGTGCTTAGAGGATGTGAAGCACAGGAGTCAATCCCCAGCTCCCCTCCGAGAAAAAATTAAGTGTAAGGAAGACAAGATAGTAATATGAACAAAGGGAAATGGGTTGATTTAGTTAGGGAAGGGGGATGGGGCAAGTTTTCGCTTCAACTTTTTTTTTCTTTTTTTGTTTTCAACTTTAATTGTGAATTTAATTTTTTAATTGCAAATATTTTAAAGTTTAGTTTTAAAGTGCAGTTTTGATATTGCTTTGCAGTAAAATAACATTTTTTATTTTATTTATTTATTTATTTTTTTGGTACTGGGGATTGAACTCGGGTCCTTGTTGCTTGCAAGGCAGGCCACCGAAACACTGAGCTAAATCCCTGGCCCTAAAATAACATTTTTTAAAGGGAAGGTGATGTTAGTGAAAATGGTGGCTTAAAGACTTCAAAGTTGGTTATTTCATAAAAGCAATGGAAAAAAATAGCTAAAATGGTCAACTTTTTCAGAGCTAAATTAACCAAAGGCATGCAGCAACTCATCTAACATTTAGTCAAGAAAAACAGCTAAAGCTTGCTAAGAACCACACTGTTGTATTTTTTTGTTTTGTTTTGTTCTGTTTTTTTGAGACAGGGTCTCACTATATAGTTGAAACTGACCTGGAACTCACTATGTAGCCCAGGCTGGTCTTGAACTCACAGTGATCCTCCTGCCTCAGCCTCCCGAGTGCTGGGATTACAGGCGAGAGCCACCACACCAGGCAGAACCACACTCTTTATAAGCATTTTAACTTGGTATTCCAATCTCCCCCTTTAGTTCCATGGCAACCTTGAAAAATACCTCACGTTTCCTGTACCCAGGGGACAGACAGGGCTGGTGCTCTTTCAAGGCCTTACCCACCTCCAGCCAGGCGTGGTGGTGCACGCCTGTAATCCCAGCACTCGGGAGGCTGAGGCAGGAGGATCGCTGTGAGTTCAAAACCAGCCTGGGCTACATAGTGAGTTCCAGGTCAGTCTCAACTACATAGTGAGACCCCGTCTCAAAAAAAACCTAAATAAATAAATAAATAAAGCCTTTTCCCCTCAAAAGAGTCATTATTTGACCTATCTCATGTTTCCCTGGAAGACCCCTTGAGAAAAATTGTCTTTAGCCACTCTGCAACCAGCCATTCCTAAAAGGTGCCTCTGGTGGGAGACACCTGATGGTCAGGTCTGATATTTTAATATGATTGGCTGAGGCAGTGGATAATAGTTGGGGAAAACAGACTAAAACTGAAGAATGAGATGTCCATAGAGCCTTTGAAAAGCTCCAGTGTATTTTGAGGAAATGAAGCCACATGCATGCATAGGCCTATGTACGTGTTCAGGAAACTCCCCCGAAAGACGGTAACAGCTCAACACTAGCTGACTTTGAGGTTCTGTGTAAGCAAGAAATAAAAGTTGTACTGTTGAAAATATACCAAAGTATACAGAGTCCCTCAGCAAAGACTGGGAGACATACTGATGCCAGGTATTTATGGAAATCTCCGTCCACTACTGAGCTAACCACTGTGCTAACCAAGTACAGATTTCAGTATTCACACACATTGTAGATACATACTTTACAAAATTTGGAAAAATAAACAGTAGCTATTATAACAAGCTGAAGCCAGGGGAAATTTAAGAATGCCACATTATTTGAAATGTCCAATTTTTAGCCAAAATGTATGAGTTAATGTAAAAAAATATATATACGACCCATACAAAGGAAATAAGAGCAATGAATAGAAACACCACAAGAAGTCCAGGTGTTAGACTTTGTAGACATTTAAGCCAACTATTTTAGATATATTCAAGAGCTTAAGGAATTGATCTCTTGAAGAATTGAAAGTATAACAATCATATTTCACCAAACAGAGAATATCGATAAATAGAAATTTTGAGGAACCAGGTGGAAATTCTGAAGCCAGAAAGTACAACTGACATGAAAAAGTCACTAGGATTTAATAGAAAATTTGAGCAGGTGAAAGAAACACAAAACTTGAAGATAGTTCAATTGACATTATCTGATTTATGAGGGAAGGGGTTACAAAAAATACATTAAGACTTTTTTCATTTATCTACATAAGTACCTTTACTGATTTTTTTTACTTATATTTCTTCATGAGAATTTAAGTTACTAGTTAGTGTCTACTACTCTCAGCTCAAAAGAATCCTTTTAATATTTTTTTAATTTTCTTTTAATATTTCATTTAGTACTAGCTACTAACCCTCACAGCTTTATGAAGGAATGTCTTAGTTTACTTCACTTTTGAAAGATAGTTTTGCAGGACATAGAACTCTTAGTTGGCAGGTTTTTTTTTTTTTTTAGCACTTTGAATATGTCATCTCACTACCTTCGTACTGGCCTGATTTTTTTTTTTTTTTTTTTTTTAACAGGGTCTCAGTAGTTGGTTGAGACTGATCTGGAACTCAACTCTGTAGCCAAGGCTGGTCTTGAACTCACAGTGATCCTCCTGCCTCAGCCTCCTGAGTGGTGGGATTACAGGCATGAGCCACCACACTGGACTATACTGGCCTGATTTCTGATGAGAAACCATTTGTTAACTTCCAGATTCTTTGTATATGATGAGCTGCTTCTTTTACAGCATTTGAAATTTTCTTTACTTTTATCAGTTTATGATGTGTTGATGTGGATCTTCTTGAGTTTATCTTATTTGGAGTTCAATGAGCTTCTTACATACAACCGCATAAAGTAATAATTGTAAATCGTGTGAAGCATGTCCTGTAACCATAATGAAATAATTCAGAAATCAATAACATAATTTAGGAAATTCACAGACATGTAGAAATCACACAGCATGCTCCTAGATAACTAGTAAATCAAAGGAGAACTCTCAAAGGAAATCAGAAAATACTTTGATATGAATGAAAAAGCATTTATGATAGTAAAAGTGATTTTTAGAGGGAAATTTATAGCTGTCAATCCCTACATGAAAAAGAAATATTTCAAATCAACAACCTAACATTCCACACTGGAAACTAGAAAAATAAGAGCAAAAAGAAGTAATAAAGATTAGAAATAAATATGAGAGACTAGAAAAGAATACACAGCATCAATAAAACCAAAAGTTGATTATTTGACAATATAAAATTTTTCCTGACAAATCTTTACCTAGACCAAGAAAAAAATATAGAAGACTAACATTAATACTGGGAATAAAAGAGAGGTGGTTTGCTTATTTGTTGCAGTACTGGGGATCACAGCAGGGCTTGTATGTGTTAGGCAAGTGCTGTAGAGCTGATGCCCAGCCATCGTGCTTTTTACTACTTGGGAACACTGTACATTGAGAGACCCTGGTAAGAGAGCATGAAAGACAGAAGCCATTCAATGAAAAGCCATTGTCATTCCTAATTTATAAAAGCACACAGACTAGGTTTGAGGTATTTGGTTTTGGTTTGTTTGGGTTTTTTAAATCTAAAACTTAGCTCTCAGTTGACAAAAGGATAGAAACTTAAGAGGGGATGGAAATGGAAAACCAGGATCTACATTTTTGATTTCTTTTAAAATAAACATGACATAATATTTGAACACTTACTTTGTTACATCTCAGGATGGAGCCACTGCCCTCTTTCTAGCTGCCCAAGGAGGTTACTCGGATGCCATAGGATTATTGTTGTCTTCAGGAGCAGAAGTCAACCAACCAAGGCAGGTAATGTGTGTCAGTGAACTTTGATCAAATTGGGGGCGTAAGGCGGGGGGCTGGGGGGCTGCCAGCAGCTCATACCTGAGATAACCAGCAGCTCCAGGAATCCTCAAACCCTTATGCCCTGCCGTGAAAAGTAAAACTTTGAAAGCTTTGTCTTGTTCTGTGCTTTGGAATCACCAGAAAGGCTACGAAAGGCTACTGACATCACAATGCTGGATCTGGAGTGTTTGGTGTCTGAGATCAAGTATACATTCTGCCACCTCCTGTTCAAATAAATTATGGCTGTACTGCAGTAATAAGTGCTGGCCAGCCTGGGACACGGGTAAATAGAGGCAAGTCCTTGCCCAGTCCCCGGCTGATATGCTTCCTTATCTCCTCCTGATATAGGGGAAATAGTTTTAACTCCCAAATCGACTAGATGTCTGATGCACCAAGTTCATGTTCCCAAAATCAAAGAATGAATTCTGAGGAAAAACTGAGGTTAAGAGTAGGAAATTTTATTGAAGGAAAGACAACTCTTGAGAGAGATAGGAGGGGACCCAGAAAGTGGGTTGCCAAGAGAAGTCGTTATTCTTGACATTATACAAATGAAAAGTATTGAGAGATTTAGTAACCACATTTTCTAATTTCTTTCTTTGATATCTTGGTCCTTGCTGACACTAGAGGGACGGCCTTCCCCCAGGCCTAGTGATAGCAACAAACTTTTGAGCATAGGCAAACCAGCCAATCCTGACTCCATACTGCAACCACCTCCTTCCTTGGGCTCTTGCAGCCTGGACCATTATTCCCTGTCCTCTTCATCCCAGACCATTAGGAAGAGCTCTCTATGTCCCAGAGGTTGCTGAAGTCATTCCAGCCAGCCTACCCTAAGCATTCTTACCTTGTGCTCTTTACCACAGAAACCACACTAAAGGCTCTTGCCCACATTTCTCCCTCCTCCCTTTGCCTTCTGACTCACCTTGGTGCCTGCCTGTGTGGCCCTGCATGCCATGTTGTGCCATCTGTTTCTAAGGATTTGTATTAAAACTTCTTTCCTGACAGTCACATGCCTGTGTGCCCTGGCTTACTGATTAAAATGAATCCTAAGCACTCTTTTATTTTTTATTTTATTTATTTATTTATTTTTGAGACAGGATGTCCTTGAACTCACTATGTAACCCAAGCTGTCCTCAATCTTGTGGAGATTCTCCTGCCTCAGCCTCCCAGACCCAAGAGCTGGGATTATAGATATGCACCACCACACCTGGCATAAGTATTCTTTAATGAAACAATGAAGGGTTTTCAGGTAGAACAGAGAAAGACTATAAACTATTTAAGTGAAAATGCCCAACAACCATTTGAATTGTGAGTTTGGCATGTATAGAAAAGGTCACTGCTACAGTTGTGAACATACAGATGGTATTTGAACCCACAGGGCTGAAAGAGACCACTCTCAAGGAAAATATAAAACGTGAAGGGACAGATTCCAAAGGCCAGCCCAGCTGATAAAAAAGAGGAGATTTCTTTTTTTAACCGGGGATTAAACTCCAGTCCTTGTGCTTGCAAGGCAGGCCACCGAACCGCTAAGCTAAATCCCCGGCCCCAAAAAGAGGGGATTGATATAGAGGTAAGAAGGCTGAGAAGGAAGCCAGGCATGGTAGCACATGCTCGTTATCTCAGCACTCAGGAGGCTGACTGAAGCAGGAAGATCAGTCACACACACACACACACACACACACACACACACACACATTGAGAAAAAGCCAGTGAGTAGGCTAAGACAAAAACCAGGAGAATATGGACATGAAAGCCAATTTTATTTATTTATTTATTGAGATAGCCTCTCACTGTGTAGTTCAGGCTGGTCTTGAACTCATGCTGATCCTCCTGCCTTGGCCTCCAAAATGCTAGGATTACAGGCATGCAGAACCACATAAATATTTAAATATTTTAAGAAGAGACAACTACATTGAGTGCCCCTAAGATCCTGAATGAAAGAGGTTAGAGACATGTTTTAGCTGCTGCTGCACAACCACCCAAACACATAGTAGCCCAAAACAGTGACTTGCTTTTTATGAGTCTGTGAATTGATGAGGCTCAGCAGGGTGGTTCTTCTGCTGTACTTGGTGTAGCTGAAGTCACTCTGGTGGCTGCATTCAGCTGGGAGCTCAGCTGGAGTTGAGCTTCAGCATCTCTCTGTATGGTCTCATCATTAGCAGTGTAGCCTGAGCTGCTTGAGCATGTGCTGGTGGCCTTCAGGAGAACAAGGCCAGTGTGCAAGCTTCTGTCAGGATTCTCCACTTCCCATAGGAGCTCTTGGCTTTGCCCTTACAGTCATGCTTTCCTACAAGAAATGGCTTGTTTTGGCAATTGAGTAACTTCTCAACCTGCTTCCTACCCATGGGCAGTTGGGAGCTGAGGAGATTTTTCATTCTGGAACTGTCTCTATCCTTTCTTTTTCAAGCTATTTCCATGTTATAGACTTTCTGTGTATCAAATTATAATCCATTCCACTAGACAAAACCATATCCCATACCTACAATCCTCTTTGAAATAGTTCTTCTCTACTGTGGCCTGCAAGTCAGGGTGATATGGGAAAATGCCCGTACGTTTCTTAGAAGCCCTTTAGCCAAAGTACCAACTTAAATCTTTTCAATATCATAAAGGATTTTGTGTTGCTGGAGATTGAAAGTAGGGCTTTACACATACTAGCAACCACTCTACAACTGAGCTATTCCCTGGCCACTTTACTTAGTTTTGAATATAAGACCACAGTTTACCAAGTTACCTTACTAATCTACCCATCACTGACCCTGCCCTGTTCCTATTGACCTCCTCAGGCCCCACATAACTCAGTACTGATGTCCCGTAAATATTTGAGGAAGGAATAAAAATGTTACCCACAATCCCACCCCTCATGGAGAACTCACATTAATCCCTGGAGATTTTCTATACCCATGGGTGGGCTAGAATCTGGCCTGCCCCCAAATTTAATCTGGCCTAAGAGAAAGTGAACATCATCAGGGTGGTGGGTGGGCTGGTGGCTCTGTAAGAAACTCTATCTTGGGCTGGGGGTTTAGTTCAGTGGTTCTGCCACCTGCCTTGCAAGCGCAAGGACCTGAGTTCAATCCCTAGTACCAAAAAAAAAAAAAAAAACTTATCTTTTAGGTACTAGATACCACTATTGTGGCCAGAAGAATCTATGCTGATGATGTGGTAGTAAATGTGTGTGTGTGTGTGTGTGTGTGTGTGTGTGTGTGTGTGTATTCATAAATTGTACTGAGTTACTCCTTTTAGGGAAATGTATAGATATATATAGATATATATATATATGTGATCCAGTAGTGTTACAGATTTGAGTTGTGGACCCCCAAAATTCATATGTCAAAAGTCATAACACCTAGTGCCTATATTTGATGGTAGGGTTTTTAAATAGGTATAGAATGAAGTGATTAGATTGGGCCCTAATCCAGTACGACAGGTGTCCTTACAAGAAGAAGAATTGTGTGGGCTGGGGATTTAGCTCAGCGGTTCAGTGGCCTGCCTTGCAAGCACAAGGACCTGAGTTCAATCCCCAGTACCAAAAAAAAAGAGGAATTGTGGAAATAGACAAGTACAGAGGAAAGGTGATATGAAGAGACAAGAAGAATGCCATTTACAAGCCAAGGACAAAGGGTTGGAACAGGTCTATCCATCAGGTATCGGAAGGAACCAACCTGGCTAGCACCTCCATCTCAGACTTTTGGCCTCCAGAACTGTGTGATGGCCCAGCTGTTATGGCAGCCTGAACAAACTCCAAGTAGTTCAAGACCCAAGTAGAGAACAGCTTGGTCTCGCACAGGCAAGAAGAGCTGAGAAGGCACCAGACCTTGGAATATCAATCTTTCCCGTACCCTGTAGGTTGAACTAAGCCTATCTTCATGCCCTCCACCCCAAGAGCTCAGACTTTGGAAGAATGGCTGTTGGCTGTTGAACCCCACTGAAGCCTGTGCCCTAAAGTGCAGTGTTCTTTCTCTGCAGAAGGGGCTGGCTTTCCCGAGAGGTGGGATGGAGATTTGGACGAGTGGATGATTTGTGCTGGCACACTTCCATCTGCTTCTGTAGGGTCACCATCCTGCTCTGTGCCCCTGCTCCTAGGGAGTGACCTCTATGGTGGAGTCAAAGCACAGCAGGGGTTCAGAGAACAGGGAGGGCCAGGCACTTCCTTTTCTGGCTTTCCTTGGGCGGCTGGTTATACTATAGTGCTGGAGGCCAGAGTTCCTCTGCATTCTGGAAACTCTCCCTTCTGTGGCCTTACAGGCTCTTTCTCTTTGCTGCCAGCCTTATGATCCTGTTGCGCTTTACATCTAGAAGTCCCCCCAAGGGCTCATGCAATCATAGGTGGGGCTTTGGGGAGGTGTTGAATCGTGGAGGAATGATGTTCATCAGTGATGAACCACTGATGAGTTTATAGCTAAATGTGCTGTTGGGAAGGGAAAGCCCAGAGGGAGAAGATGGGTCACTGGGGTGAGGCCTGGGACCGTAAATCTTTTCCATCTCCTTTCGCTTTCTGCTTGCTGTCTGCCATGCCATCATGCTTTGGAGCCAAATGACTATGGACTGAAACTTCTACAAACTGTGAGCCAAAATAAACCACCTCAAGTTTCAGGTATTAGGTATTGTGTCCAGGCAAGGAGAAAAGTGACTAAGACACATCCCTTTTTGCTTTCCTTAACTCCTACTTGCTCCATGTAAGTAGTCTTTATTAACCTCCTTGTAATTACAGAGTTTCAGAGGACCACCTGCATCTTCCAAGGGCCCCCCACAGATAACAGAGAAATCCCTCTCAGAGACAGTGGAGAGAAGTTCCTGAAATAGAAGCAAAGCTGGGAAACAGAGTATTCCTGAAAAAGATTTCTTTTCCCTTGGATCAATCCAAGAATAATTGTATTGAATGGACACATATCCTCCTAATTCCTTTCAATGCCCTTTGTGCCTCACTGCATGTGGCATGTGGGAAACTAAGTGAAGAGCAGTAAGGGCAGTGTGACCTTCCCTACCTCACCACTCTGCTAGGGCCAGGTGGGCATGGTGCAGCCACTTCCGGAGAACAGAGGTGTCACAAGGTTTAGGTAGGACCTGACCTAAGTTTTCAGTGACCCAGGAAAGCAACAGAAAGTGGTGCCAAGGGTGACCCAGTAGTGGATGTAAGCCAGGCATCTTAGCCCCACATAAACCACAGTACAGTGAAGCTGCAGGGAAGGCAGCTGGTACTATAGTGACAAATATGAAAAAATATGGTAATCTTGGTTCCTTTCCTCATGATTATTATAATTAAGAGACTTAGCAGACTTGGAAAAAGAGAATAACACCAATAATTACTTCTGTATTTATTGAGCACTTGCGTACCAGGCACAAAGCTAGGTGTTTTAGCACCTAGCTAAAGGGGAGATTGTCTCACCCACTTTCTGTAACAGCCATATTTGTAGATAAACTGCCTCATATAGGCTCTAATTAATTATTGGTTAGTGAGTGGGTGAATGAATGAAGGCCACTGTGGTTCCTAATGGGGCCTATGTGCTGCTTTAGAAGCCTGAAGTTCTGGAGAACCTCATATCCCAACTTCCTACAGAGGAGCAGGGTCTTCACAAGTTCTTAAAGGACAAGTAGAAACCATTCCAGCTTCAACTTAAGTTTGATCTACAGTATCTAAGTGGGTAATTTCAACAGTTTTTCACGTCTGGAGCCATACCATGAACGTTTTCTAATGTTCCCAAGTCTGGATTGTGCCATGCTTGTTTTCACGATATCACCCTCTTTCACATGTCCCTTCATTACAGATGTTCTACAGAAGGGCATAACAGCTAAGTTTAGAAGTTACTATTATGCCTACATTAGAGCTGGAAAAACTGAGATTTGGTTGAGAGAGGTAAAGTTACTTGCCAAGGCCACCAGACATTAATGTGCTAAAACCTGGTTTTCAAAAGTCCAGGCTTTAAACCTCTGAAGAATAAAGACTTGGGGTTGGGGTATAGCTCAGTGCTGGAGTACACAGCACAGCATGTTTAGCATGTTGAAGGCCTGGGATTCAATACCCAGCAACTACAAAAGCAGCAGTAGCCAAAAAGAAATCTTCCAAACATAGTAATGCACATCTGTAATCCCTGCACTTAAGAGGCTGAGGCAGGATCATGGGTTCATGGCCAGCCTGGGAAACTTAGCAAGATCCTGTCTCTAAAAACCTAAATAAATAACTAATAAAATTATAGGTGCACCCTGCCTCTACTTACTGGCCAGAAGAATGAAGCAGCATGTATCTTGGCAGCTGTATGCTGAAGTGGCAGGCTCGAAAGAGAGCAGAGATCTGGGTCTTGGACAGTTTCATGAAGCAGTTTTCCAGTCCTGTAGTGTCCATCTCCAGGCTTCTAAGGCAGTTGTGTTCTGGGTTCTGTCCCTTGCAGCTGAACCTGCCTCTTGCTGACACACCACATTAAGGAGTTTGGCGTTGGTCCTAAGAGCTACAGTGACAGCTGAAGTGAGGCTGTGGTTGGTGGCACCAATCAACTAAAGTGAACTAAGCTAAGGCATGTTGGGGAGAGGTTGAGGAGGAGGTCTGGATAACCAGGAAATCTGTTCTGTTCATGGGTTCAGTCTGTGTGTTTTTAGTAGCATTTGCACTGAACTCTGAGAGGTGCTGATAATACCGAGTCCTCGCCCTAAACTCAGGTTGGGAGGACAGAGAGCTGAAGCATGGAAAAGCAGGCAAGAATGAGCAGGGGAGCAGGGTGGGGTGACAGGGATGTGCTCTGTGTCCACTGTCAGCACTGAGCCCCCCATGGTCTTGCAGGGGCAGGAGGGCACGACTCCTCATGGCCTGTGCACAGGTGTGCCGTGGAATCAGTGCCTTGGGGCAGCCACACCACATCTCACAGAGCTCACAAGTCTTTCCAAGTACAAAACTGGTGTTACTTGAATTTTTAAAAACCCTAACACTAAAGTATGTAAATTTCCAACCTCAATACTCTCACCAGCCATGTTTCCTTCCCCCAGAGGTAACTAGCCACTGCCAACAACCTGGCATGCATTATTCTAGAAACTGCAGTATGTCGAGTTCCTGAGCCTGTGTCCTAGGACTTCCGCACATTCCCAGGGCATGTTTGGGCTCCAGCTTCCTACTCCAGTAGGATCTGTCCTCTTAAGCAACTACTTTGCCTCATCTTGGTCACTCATGGCAATAACTCAGGCAAGCATATTAGGTGGCACCTGGTCAAACTCCACAGCGTTGTACACAGCTTTGGAAGCCCAGTTTTTTCTGATGGGCAACAGTTGATGTCTACTTGTGCCAGGCACTGTCCTGAACGCACTGTGTTTTCATTTATTTGATCCCCTTCACAACCTAGTGAGGTAGAGGAGTACATTATAAAAATAAAGCGTTAGGGCCGGGGAGTTAGCTCAGTGGTTCCACTGCCCACCTCACAAGCGCAAGGTCCTGAGTTCTGTCCCCAGTACCGATAGGTAGGTAGATAGATAGATAGACAGACAGACAGACAAGACAGAAAGACAGGCACAGCAAGTTATATAATTTGTTCAAGACCGGTTAAATGGCAAAGCCAAGATTTAACCCATTAACTCTGGCTTCAGTCTGTGCTGCTAGCCCTGGTAGTGTGGAGTTAGAATGAAGCATTCACAGTATCAATGGGATAGTCACAAATACAAGTTTTGTGCACCCTCACCCACCCGCTTGTACAGCAAGGTACAGAGAAGGGAATTAGGCAGTGTCTTGCACACAGGAAGACCTAGGCAACTTGGGATAACCCCAGGCCTGCTGTAAGAGCAGCTCCTGGCTCAGACACCACAGGGATCTGGTGAACTTGGCCAGCTACAAGCTGTCTCTGTCTCTTGTCAGCAGGTTGAGTCAGTCCCCTGGGGCTGTGGGAGGGGTGCAAAGAAGAGGCCAGGCTGGTCCAAAAGGGTAGAAGCAAAATGTGCAGAGACAACAGTTGCGCAAGAAAACTGTTACTGGAGGTCTTGCTAAGGGTCTGGGTCAGCAGAGTCCTGTGGTGTGTCCTTTGTGACAAGCAAGAAGGTGGTGTGGTATAAAAGTGTACAAGGAATAGCAGGGCAGAGTCCAATACTTTTTCTTACTGTTACGTCAATCTTTTGCCCTAGGTTAAACTTGCCTTAATAAAAATTTGGGGCTAGGGATTTAGCTGAATGGCAGTGCGCCTGCCTCTCAAGTGCAAGGTTCTGAGTTCGATCCCTGATACCAAAAAAAGTTGGGGGGTTACATATATGATTTTCTATTTGTAGAGCCACTGCTCCCACCCCCTCCCCTTTTCAATCTCTAGCCTAGGAAGAACATGAATTTACATGTCAAAATTAGCAGTTTTAAAAGTAAAATGGTATGTAACTGTTAATCAGTTTGACTGGATCAAGAAGCACCCGGGGAAGTAAGAAAGCACCCTTCTAGGTGTGTCTGGGTGAGTCATGGAGGCGTGATCTTGGGGTTTTTTTCTTTTGCAGCAGGATCAAACTTGGGTCCTTGTGCTTGTGAGGCCGGCAGTGGCACCACTAAGCTAAATCCCCAGCCACAACCTTGGGTATTCTTATCTGTCCCTAGCCTTCCTCTCTGGCACTGCTTCCCTGCTCTGCTTCCTGGCTGCCACGAACAGAACATCTTTGCTCTGCCACACCCTTCCGCCATCGTTTCTGTTTTAGAACCAATAGACCGCGGATGAACTAAATTTCCTGAATCCGTGAGCCAAGTTAAAGTTGTCATCCTTTAAATCGCGGGTGTTCGGTATTGTGTCCTGGAGATGGAAAGCTAAATAGAGAGGTTGGGGACACAAGGTGGGCAGTGCCTAAACAAGGAAAGGATGAGATCATGGAATAATCCCAGAGAGGAGGACATGGATCGCCCAGCTCCAGAAAATGCCTCAGCATCAGAGGACGCAAGCTTTTCTTCTTCCTATCTAGGTTGATCCACTTACAGAGCTGAGGAATACAGAATGGTGGCAGGCAGCAACTTCAATGCAGGAGGGCAGGAGAGGTGGGGCTGCTGTGCTGGCCCTCAGGGTTCCAGCTGGTCTGTTTCTTGTACTGCTACAGTGCTGCTCGTCTGCCACCCCTTCTCAGCCTGTGCTCACCACCAGAAGGTGAGCAACAGGACCAGCTCTTCTCAGTGTGCCCAGCTCCCAGGGAAATGCAGACTCAGAAGTGAGGTGAGAGACAGAAAACTTCTGTAAGAGGGCCAGGGATTTAGCTTAGTGGCACTGCACCTGGCTTGCAAGTGCAAAGTCCTGAGTTCGATCCTGATACAAAAAAAAAAAAGCAAACTTCTGTAAGAAAATGTATTTTTAATCCAAATGGGTGGTGTCTACAAAAAAATGTTTGGAACACAAGCCAGTCCTAAGGACTATACACCAGCATCCTGCTGCTGGTGGGACACACAATCTGGCTGAGTGTAAGACAAGTAGGTGCTGATGCCCCACACTTCATCATGATCTATACACTTAGCATGTGGAACTCTGTCAGCCATATGCAAAGCAGGCTGGTGGGGAGGAGGAGGGGGTGACAGCTGTCTTGGTGGTGCCACGTGAGCTGTTGCAAGGCTCATGTGGATGCTGGGAAGGGAAGAGATGCAGTATCTGTCTTCTGCTGCCTGGTTTCCATGAATTCGCGTCTCCTCCAGAGTCCCAACCACTTCCGTCTCCCTCAGAGGCTTCCCCATGGCCTACGGAGTGCTGCCTGCCCAGTGCTCCTTCATGGCCTGAATTCTCTACCTCATTCCCCAGACCAGAGCTCAGCCTCACACGTCTCCTCCCTGATCTCAGACTTGTGTCCTAAACTCAGCCCACCTGCTCAGTCAGTGTTCACTTGCATTCTTTGTCTCCCCGGGCAGCTGGGCCCTGACGGCTCCTCATCCTGTCCCCCGTACAACACAATACATGCCTGTACACACCTGGGAACTGAACCCAAGGCCGTATCACTAGCCCTTTATGTTTTGAAACTGGGTCTTGATAAGTTGCTTACGCTGAGCTTGAACTTATGATCCTCCTGCCCCAGAGTCCCACTCCTCTGCCCTTCCCGTGGCACACAAGCTTAGAGGCCTGGGCAAGGTTGTGCTCACTCCTGACCAGCACTAGCAAAGTGCTCAAGCACAAGCGCCCACACCCATCTCCACATCACAGCCTCACCTTACCAATCACGCTTCTGTTTTTCCAGCCATCACTCTTCCCCACCAGTACATCTCAAGAAGTGAGAGAACACATTACTTTTCCAGCTTAAGTGGTAAGGAGCTGAACATAGCTTTTCATTCTCAAATAATTTCCTGAGATTTAACAAGCAGAAACAGGGAACAGAAAGTCAGAATTGGATATAGAATTCAGATTTTTTTCTTTCAGAGACACATTTTGTACAACTTTCAACATTTATATTTTCAAACAAAATAAGCAAAAAATACACTGCTAAAAAATCAAAACAGAATACAGTTTTAATTTCAATATTTTAAAGTACAGAAATTGAAAAGAATACTAAATACAACTTTAAACAAGTCACTTGTCTTCCCCTATAATAATCAATGTAAGCTACTTAAAGACTTACAAATTGAGAGTAAAACAGAAACAAAATAAATACTGTACATTTTCCCTGCCTGCAGGCAAAAGATGGGAAATACTGTCATGAATTAGAAAAAAAATGCTCTTAAAGCTTCTGCATCCCACTCCCCAGCCATACCCCGTCCCACTGCCACACTGTGTGCTTCTGTACTCCAAGGACACGCTGTGCACACACACTGGCGACCTACACATAGACGAGACACTACCCCGCAGACACCCCCAACGAGAAGGCAACAGTCACCTGGGACCGTGGGCATAAAAACCAGTAAGGAAAGTCAGTCAGGCTAGCAAAACGTTACTACAAAACTAGTAAATACCATAGCCAACAACTGTCCCCTTTTCAAATTTCACAGTTAAAACCCCTAAAACCAATACTAACCCTCCCCATCACCACCCTCCAACATCGCCCAAAAGAAAACTTGCTGAAGCACTGGTAAAGTCAGACGTTTCACAGTAATGTGAAAATTCATATTATATAATCTCTTAACATGAACCTTTTCACCCTCTTTCCACAGCATGAAACTGTTATGGCTTAATTTATATTAAAAGTAGAAAAGTCTTTTCTGAGGGAAATGCAGTGTGCGAAGATGCACATGCATTTCCTGATCAGTGCTATTTCATACGTAACAACTGCATGACTTGCTTTTGCAGTCAGAAGCTGTTTTTGGAAAAATTGAGGTTATAGCTTTTGATTCAGTCTAACCATAAACTGTAAGGCCCTTAGTTTGGCTTAGGTTTCTTTTGCAAGATAAAATAACCTTGGGGTTCACTTAGCAAGTTACACCTTAGGTCCCTGACTATAATGTGGAAGTTGCATGTACGCTTTGTAAAAATAAAAAGTTACTTATGAATCTTAGAGGGAAGAAATGACTCTAGGCAAGGAATCAAGTCCTTATATTTATATTTAATGCTGGTAATTTTTACCAACCAAAATCCACTAAAGAAATATGAATATGTCTGGGTTATTTTATTCCTGCAAAGTATTATATATTCTAGCACTTATGATCATGGTTTTGGTGAAAAATCTTGGGGGAAAAGAGCTGACACATTGAAAAGGAAATGACCAAAATAAAACTAGCGGAAAACAAGTTTTCTGTGATAGAGTTCTATGTATGACTGCTTTCTGAAATAAAGCAGAGTGAATTCAGACTGTCATGGGTCTTGCATAGGTAAACTACTTGGAGGTCAAGGGCTACGTGGTAGCCAGGGTTTATTAGTGAAATAGTGCAGAGCAGATAAGCTTGTTGGAAGAATCACTGAATAGTTTTGAAAAGGTTTTAACAAAAACTAAGGCTGCACTTGTTTAGTCAAAGCCTTAAGACACTAGAGGGGCACCAAGGTGAGGGGGAGAGTTTAAGGGTATCCCAAGGGACTATCATTTTCTCTTCCCCAGTAGAGAGGGAGAGATGACTACAGAAGAATAAAACCAGTCAATCACAATAAGCTAACTGCTTTGGAAACAGGCTTTTGCTTCTTAAGGATAATAACTGTTAAAAAGTATTTATGTAAAGCATATCAAGTATTTTAGTTACAGTATCATCACCGAAAAACTAAGGGAAGAGTTTTCAGTAAGGCTATATAGTATTAAGATTACATTATGTTCAGCAATGATTGAGTGAGTGTAGGAATGCTGCCCCTTTGCACCTACCTTCAAGGAAGCACATGGATATGTCTGCCACAAGACAGGCAGAGACTGCAGCATCATGCAACTGGGGCTGTCTTAGGAAGCAAGGTTATGAGAGGTCCTGGTCCACTGTGTCCTCAGGCAAATCCCTGCCCTATTTGTCTTACACTTTATTCACCAGCTTTCCCTAGGGTGAAGGTTGTGACACCCCAGTCTTGAGACTGCTTTTGATGAAGTAGCTCATCAAGAAAGGACTGACGCTCCACCCGCTCCATCCTGCCCCATGCTGGGGATCAGACCCAGGGCCTCCACCTTCTAGGCAAGAGCCTCTCTTTACACAGGGAGTGACTCAGTTAACATTTAATGCAAAAGACAAACTTAAAAATCTTGAGATTTACATTATGAAGGCCCTGTCTCTTCGTGTGAAAACTACACTCACCACTAGAACACTCACTTCCAGCAGCTGTGGGAGGTCATTCTCAGGGAGCAGTCTTGTCACTGTCACAAGCATCTGTGGGAGACATCCAACTGATTCTCCCTTACTGCTCCAGTGAGTTCTCTCTAGCTCAGCTTCTGTCACCAGCTCAGAGCTGTCTCTGTGGAGTCCCATTTTCCTGACCACTTTATTTCTTCCCCAGTCCCGTGGGTGGCTACTAAATCATTCTAATCACATGACTACTTCATCTGTATCTAGGACCTGAAGAGTATGCCAAATCTGGGTAGCAGTGCCATCCTAATTTCTCTTTGAGAAAACCTAAAGGCATCTTTTAGTTACTCTGAATCATCTTCATGGATCTGAGGATGAACATTCCCACTCACTATAAACTAGCTCACTTCTTTTACTTCAAGTATGCAATCTGACTTCAATTCAGCACCTTGTTAGAGATCCTTCAGATTTTTTTATGTAGCATGCCCAGCATATATATTTGATATGAAATAAGTGTTATGAATAATAGCAGTTTTCACTTAAAATGTATATAAAGGTGCATTATTGGTTTTAATGATAAATTCATGTAACTATGAAGTATTAATAATTAAGAAATGCTTTTCTATATTTTTCTCCACTGGATAGTAAAAGAAGCAGTTTCATCCAAACCTAAAAATAAGGAAACTAAGATTCAGGAAAAATAAGCGACCTAAGTTACATACAGGTCACACAACTGACACATGAACAGTAGAACTTGGACCAAAACTTGGGTCTTTTGCTTCCTTCCATGCTAATGTGTATCCTCATGTCACTGACATTAAGTTACTAAATAAAAGGTTTCTTAAAATTTAAAGACTTAAATCTTTTTAATATCTATTTCTACAGCAGTGCATCTCAGCTGAAACTAATAGAAGTTATGCTGTTTTTTATAAATAGGATCTCTTCTGCTGAAGTTGGCTTAGAAGTGAAAATAAATACTGCTAATTTCCTGGAGAAGCCTTTCACAGGCAGAGACAAGAACTGCAACTACAGTACTACATAGTGCTGGGTACACAGTAGATGTTTGTTAAGTCCCTGCTGTCTCATGAATAAAGACAGTAGAATATCTTAAAAAGGCAATCATTAGGATTATTTAAAAAATTAGAACAGCATTCGAGCTAAGTAATTACTGATAAAGACAGGCTTGTCTCCTCTCTGAGTTATGGTTTCAGTCAGAATGTTCAATTTTTTATGCTTCAAAAATGAACTGGCAGGCCAGGGGTTTAACTCAGTGGTTCCGCCACCTGCCTCATAAGCGCAAGGGTCTGAGTTCCATCCCCAGTACCAAAAAAAAAAATGAAGTGGTGCTTATGAAATTCAATGCATTTTTAGGATACTAAACTATTATAAACTGCCAACTTTATATTGTTTACATCATTCATCAATACTGGGGAGCATAATATTGTGTGATGTTGTTAATTACAGTACAAAGGATCCCAAGTTGAGTCACTTATTTGAATCAATAGGAAAATTACTATTACTATTAAAGTCATATACATTAAATCATTGTTTCTCAATTTTATGTACTTGTATTTGCTTATGACTAGGTAAATGCTACTACTGCTGTCTTCCTAAGATGTGGTATACAGTTTGTAAGTGAGACGGAGGGAAGGACAAAAGATTGTATGTTATAGCTGAGCCCATTACTGGCAGTAGTTACTGAAGTCCAGCTGATTCCATGAGATAAAGAGAGACATCTCAGCCGGTACCTTTATAAGAGGTTTGATTAGAAGCCACTGAATCAATGGTTGAATTTTTCCCAATTCAGAAAAAGATACATATATTTTCTCATCGTGGTTGTATTACCTTCCTGAAAGTTTTGTAACTTAGCTAGTTAATTGGCTAAAACTTTCAAAAATGAATCCACAGTACTTTCTCTTTAAAATTCCACATATTGTATACTCTAAATTAGTATTTTATCAGCCTAAGGACACAAAATGGATAATAGCCACAATTTTAATTCATAAAAATAAATCGTTTTAATTTTATAACTAAGAAAAAATTAAAAATACTTAAAAGTTGTGTGAAAAATGTAATGTAAGGGAAAAAATCCAGATCATGCCACTAGAAAAAGAAATTAAAGTTCTTATTTCTTAAACCCACTACAGATCACTGTAGACCCACTAGAATAGGGTCTACAGAAAACCAAGACATCACAGTGATGCACTGTGTGGGAAGGTCAGAGAATCAGTCAAACCCAGATATCTGCACCTTGAGATCCAGCCAGTGGCTGAATGTGCCCATCCCATCTCTCTATTAGTTATAGCATCACGTAGATAGGGTTTAAGCAAGCTGTTCAGAGATACTGAGGATTTCCACAAAAATTCTTCCTGACACTCAAATAAGATTCAGACTTTTGGGCCAAAAAGACTATTTCATTAGCTCTTTCATTGTTATCCCATGAAACACCAGAATGGAGACAGAGTAAGAAATATTCCTCTTTGGAAATAAACATTTGAATACAACCATGAAAGAGGATGGTATAGACTCTTTTTTCTTAGCAATTTAAGTGATACTTAATACAGAAGGAAAATTCCAAGATTAAAAAAAAAGGACAAATTCATTATATGGCCATATTTCTTTTTCATAAAAGTAAATTTCATCCTATTTGTCTATATTGTCTTGGTAGGCATTCGTAAAATGCTATATTGTCAGACTTGGGAATAGTTCTCAGCAATCATTTACTTTTATATCCTGAGAGCAAAAAGAGAAGACAGAAAGTCTTATAAGCAGGGCCAGCCAGGGATTTAGCTCAGTGGCACCGTGCCTGCCTCACAAGTGCAAGGTCCTGAGTTCGATTCCCAGTACCAGAAAAACAAACAAACAAACTCTTAGAAGCAACCAAAAACTGACACTTAGTAAAAATTGTGTATAAAGGAGAGAAAATTACCTTAAGTTTAACCAGACAGTTACCCTCAATATGCACTGGCCAAGTTAAGACAGACAGAAGTAACTGCAAAAAGCACCTATTTTACTCCAAATCCTTACGTGAAATAATTCCTTAAAATTTTAAGACAAAAAAAAGTAAACACACACACACATATAGGATCTATTCCAACATGCTTGCTTCTATACAACTTAATGTAGTATAATTCTATTATATTACGGCTTATTATGCGGATTTGAATATCCTAAATCAAATCATACTTCTCAACAGATTAGGTTTAGTGAATAAAAACATCAAAAGATACAACCCTTGCAGCAGGTGCTGGCCCTGTCCTCTAACACCAGCGGTATGAAGAAGGCCCTCTGTATTACAATGTACTTGAAAAAACTACAAACATGACATTTAACCAAACTTATAATACTTTCCCCACAAGTAGGAAGAAGATATTAAAGCTGTTCTCTTTGGGACCCAGATATCATCAGCAGAAATGAAAATGCAAGAAGCCTATTTCCTTATATTTAGAAGAAAACCACAATGTCAAAGGAAATGAGGGGTGAGGGATCTTTTATGGAGCTCCTACACATTGGCTATGCACGTGTTTCCCTGCAAAGAGAAGAGTCTTGTCGGGTCATCACAAAATGAGGGGCGCAGAAGGAAGGGGGATATAAGAGAATCAACCTGGATAACAGTATGCACCTTGGATGTTAGCAAAAGCGAAGCTAATAGCTTATAAAAAAACACATGAAATATATAAAATAAAATGATTTTCATATACATCTTAATTTAAAATAATTAATGCATCAAATCCCTGTTTAAGACTTTAACCTGAATATCAAATTTAAGAGTCCAGACTAGTTACTGTTACCGTGGCTCTTCCCCACATGTAACACACACACTATCAAAAATAATTTAAAAACCTTCACATTCTTAAATCTAAATTAGTGAGATATTTCTCCAGAAATCTTCCAAATAAATAGCTTTAAAAAAGAAAGAATTTAAAAGCTGTTAACTTTTTAAAAAAAATCTGTTAAATAAATTATTGATAATTCTTTACCCTACTACTGAAAATAAATCAAGACACTACCAACAACAAAATGAAATTCAAGCCCTGACAAGAGACCCATTCCAGTTCAAGGTCTCTATTTAAGGTTCTACCCTCCTCCTCCCTCTCCCCACCAGGTCCAAAGGGTTATTGCTGAGTGGGTGTGGCACAGTGAAGACGCAGCATCATGGTTGCTCTGCTCTTCGGGCAGTGTTCTTACTGTACACGCCACTGCTCCAGGCAGGGGGGCGCAGAAACTCCAGGCTTCTGCCCCAGACTGCTCCAAAGGGAGGCGCGGCTGCCATGATAGCTCCGTCACACAAAGAAGCGTGCATGGCCATTTCTGTTCAACTTAAGGATCTTCCCAAGACGCTGTTTGGCTGTCGCCATTCCTTTTTTTGGACGTTTGCCTATAAAACAATACCACACACACACAAAAGAAAAACATAATACCACAGTAAGTAATAACGCAAAGCATACCCTTCAGACAGCACCAGAAACATTTCAGAAGGAAGCCTGTGTAGTGTTCTACACACAAAAGCCACACATCTGGATAGCCACTGTGTTAAAAAAAAAAAAAACCTTCCTTCTGCTCACACCAGCAGTGGAGCCAGCCTTATAAACAATGCTTCAGCTACATGAAAGAATGAGGTTTCATCTCCCAAACCAGGGCTTGTGCTCTGCTCTTCCTACACTGCTATCTGTTCTGTTACTTCCTCACATCAGCCCAGCTCACTCCTTACTGTCCTTTGGGCTCCCCCTCCTCCTGAGCCTTAGGAAGCCATTCCAGAACCTTGGGGCTGACTTGGGTGTCCTCCTCCTTGGCACCCTGTTATGGCTGTGTCTAGATATCCCCTCAAAGCGTCATATGGTCGGTCATAGGTGGGGCTTTTTCAGAGGGGGCTGGATCCAGAGTATACAACACTGGATCTGATTCATGTTGCAATGCTAGGATCAAGGACACTAACAGTAAGGGTGAGTCCTTATTGCTTTGCTACTTTCTACCTGCCATGAACTGTTTCTCCTTTGCGATGCCTGCATTGCCAAGACAGACGACCTGTCTTGGAGCCAGATGGTTATAGAATGAAACCTCTACAAATGTGAGCTTTAAGTTTAGGTGTGGGGTATTTTGTCTCAGCAATGAGAAAAGTAAGTAAGGAATACCCCTGGTGCACACTGCTGTGAGAAGACCAACCACTGTGCACAAGATGCCAAGCATCTGGGGTGCAGAGACTGCATTGCCATCGTGCATCAAGAACAGACTTGATCTGCAGGTGAGTCACAGTTACCTTTTGTTGCCTGGTTGCTGATAGGTGGTGGATTTGATGCAGGTCTCTTGGTGGGGTGAAGGGGCACTGAAAAGGAGGATTCTCCAGCTGGCCTCTCTGGGCTCAAGCTGCAGCTGTTTATCTGGCACATGCCCGCAACCATGCTGGAATTCTGTGTGTACTTTCCACTCAGAAGGCCTGTGACACTGCTGTCCATACAGTTTCTACTTTGCACCTTTTGACTTGTTTCTGATGAACCTTCCTTTTTGTTGCATTTCTGGCTTCTGCTTAGATCCTACAGAAGTAAGGAAATGAAGCTCAATTTTTACGATTTAATGCATATTTAAGCTCTCTCTACACTAGCAAAGTCAAGAAAGGAAATACCTGAATTCTGGTTTTCTGAACATGGATCAGCTACAGATGACCAACCTCTATGACAGTCCTATCAGTCCATAATAAACCTAAGAGCCTAGAACTCAGGTCTTGAAGTTGCATCATTAACTTAAGAACAAAAAGGAAGAGAAAATAATTTCAAAAAGCAGAGGTCCCTACCTGCCATTCCACCTCCATGGAGGGCACTAAGATGGGAGAAATGGCCCAGCGCTTCCTTAGCATACCACACAGCTCCCATGGCATAACGTACTAGCTTTATTACAACCTCTGTAAGGTTCACCTACACTGTATTTATTTGCAAGGAAAATCCTAAGATCAGAGCCCCAAGCCTGATTTCTTTGTTGTTGTTGTTGTTGATTTTCGAAACTCGCTGTGTAGTTCAGACTGACCATGAACTCATGGCAATTTTCCTACCTCAACCTCCCAAGTGCTGAGATTACAGGATGCCACCCTGCCCAGCTCCAAGCCTGATTTTTCTTGAACTGAATCTCCTTTTTCAATCTCCAAAGACTGAGTCAAATGTCAGGGAAAAAAACAATGATGACTGACAACTCTTGAAATTAACTGATAGGGTCATGACCAGAATTAAAAATGAAAAGGAACAAGGACTGAGAATGCAGCTCAGTGGTACAGCCCTAGGTTCAATCCCTAGCACTGCCAAAAAAAAGAAAAAGACAAAGAGATTAGACATGAAAAGAGCACACTGTGATGTGATCTTCCATTAAACTAGTTTAACTTCTGGTGTAGGAGAGATGTAAATATATTTGTCTTAATCAGTTTCAAAACCAGTATTAAACATAGACCTGGTTTAAATTAGTCTTACAAATAATATTCAGGAGCATGAAAAAACAAACGTTGATTTGATATGCCACAATAACACCTCTCTAGATCAGAGGCAAAAGAAATTTCATTTTCTCTGATACGACCCTATTAATCATGTGTCCTCGGCTTCTTCATTTTCAAAGATAATTACAAAAACAACAGTCATATAGCTTATTTTAATACTGAATCCTCTAATGCTGGTAAGTGAGAATTTCATGTCCAAGTCTCTCTTTCTTAAAGAGGCTCCTCATGTCCCCTCCTCTTGCTCTCCCCCAGTGTTTCTTTTGACACAGTCTAAATTCAAGTTCTAAGAGAGAGGCAGCCAAGGACTCCCGCTTCTGCTGATTTACTTTCCTTACATGTGCTTGGGTTGAGAAGTCTGGGGCCCCCTCTGCTATGTGAGAATTCTGATTCTTTCTTTGGCTGCCATTTTCCGAGGTTTGTAGCAAAAGGTCTTTGGGGGGGGGGGCTGCTGCTGCTAAAGCTTTAGCTTTTTAAAAAAATGCCCATGTATGTATAAGCATGGATATACTGGGATCCCAAGACATCTATAGCAGAGGTTCTTAATCTGGAGTCAGTGGAGAGCCAGGAGTGGGGACAGAAGCAACCATACACAAAGCTGAGTATTTATGATAAGTATTTTTCTAAAAGAGAAACTATAACTTCTATCAAATCTTCAAAGAAACTTAGTACCTACAATGCACAAGAGACAGTGGCAGAGTTAAAAAGGAGATGTTTTGTCCTTGCACTTTTCATTCTAATCAGGTACAACCTACAGTTGCCCACAGCCAGGGATTTTCTGTTGCACTGAGGAAGTCACTCTTTTCAGCTCACACTCCGTCCTGAGCTACGTAGCAGTCATCAGATCCCTGAAAATGCACAGCTGTTCAAATGTGCATTGAAATGTATTTTTTAGTTTCCTAGATCTAGAGGTTGATAACCAGTTCTAATATAAAATGAAAGTAAAAATGAAGTTAACAACAATTCTAATCTCCTTTTAATAATTCAATCTATGAAGCCTGTAATTCCAGCACTTGGGAGGCTGAGGCAAGAAGATAACAAATTACACAGTGAGGCCTTGTCCCCCCCCCCAAAAAAAAAAAAAAAAACCAAAATAATTAAAAAGTTTAAAGTTTTTTTCAATCTCTGAATATACCTGAGGATTAAATCTGGAAGTTCTATCAATTTGTTTAATCCAAGAAGTCCTCAAGTCTTGATCTTCAGTCTTGACATGATATCCTAGAGAGACATTTTAATTCAATTGTCTTTGCACAAACTTGATATTAAAAGACAAAATTAGTCTAATGCTTAAAACTGAAAGCAATTTTATCTTAGTATTTCATTAAAAAATATATTAACTCTTTCCATGTTTCCTTTTTCTCTCCAAAATCACCTGCTCACTTGCTATTTCTTTCAGTTCTCTCTCTTCTTTCTTTCTTTTTTTTTTTTTTTTTTTTTTTTTT